GCCCAGCCTAGACTGGGTCCTGCAACCAGCCAGCCTGCCTGGGTTGGGTGGCCAAGTTTCTTGGGCTGTGTGTTTCATTTTTACTGGCACTAGTCAAGATGGGAAAGCTGTTAATTTAGGGCTTAGTTCAAGGCTCCAGTCAGTAGTTGGGGTTTCCATAGGTTCAGGAGGGTTGGTTCATCCTTTGGAGTCTGTTAAAAACTAAACAACTAAGTTGGGAATTGGGGACTAACAAACCCTTCCTAATTTCTGGAGTAACTGATGTAGATTATAACTCAAGAAAGAAGAGCTGGGTTGTTAGTCTGTCTTCCTCATGAGTTTGAGTTTTTCCACTGTAGAGAGCACAGAAACATAAGGTCAGCAACTAAAGTGTAATTCTCACTTTCCTAGTTTTTGCTGAGAAGGTAGAACAGTGTTTTATGTCTGATCTAACACTGAAAATTTGTTGCTATGCACCTTCTGCTTAGTCTGTTTTATGGCTTTATCAAGCTAAAAGCCTTTTGATGTTTGTGGGTCATTTTTCTTCTTCATATTGTATGTTGTTTTTAAATGAATTAACTTCTAAGCTAATCTGTCACAGATTTAATTATGGTACACAATCATGAGGGAGTTGCTTTTTCCTGATACTGAGTAAATAACTGTTTTCCTTATTGAATAAAGTTATGTGCTTATTTTGAGTTTGGACTTCCTCTTTTCTTATTTCCCACTGTCGCTTGCTTCAGCATTTTCTTGCTAAATGGTTGAAGAACAGGAATAAAGGATAAAGAATAACTGTGTGTATCAGCCATGAAAGTAAGAGCTTTATGATCCCTAAACATGACAGAAGTGGTGTTTTCTACACTTTGCAGAATGGGAGGTGTACTGTAGTGTCTTGATTTTGTCCTCCATGCTATACCACTCACCACCACCTTATGTCAAGAACAGAGATTTGTGATAACTATTTTCTTTTACCTTTTCTTCTTGTAATTCTTTCGTCCTAAAGTCTTAGCATTTGGAGATGATCTTCTTCATGTTGATACTTCTACTCTGCTCACAGAGGCGTTATTGAGAGATTCATCTGTACCCAGCAGCACTTTCTTGCTGCTATTTTTTTCGAATCCCTCTTTTCTCTTCTTGATTCTAGTGTAGTTTTGTCATATTTTCAGTGGTGAAAGGTTTAGGATCATTCCTTACCTCACTTTGCTAACAGTGTCTGACAGCCGCGCTTTTCCCATTTGTAGCTTGCTCTGTAACATCCTTTAGGTAGGGATGATTTTGGGGATAATAATAAAAGTTAGAGTATTCTTATTCTTGACTCGGGATTTGCAAGACCTCTGTACAGAAGTTTCATGGATGCTATTCTGTATGAGCATTAGGAATAGTTGAAAGGGAATTGGTGAAAGTAATGCTGCTTTTTCCACCAGCGTGTGGAAGCTGTTCTCTCTTTTTGTAGGCAAGTATTTTTTTTCTGCAAATGTAAAAGGTTCCTTCTCTTCAGGTAAACCTGTTTGCTGAGTTGTGTTACCAATCTGTGGGATGGTTGGCTACATCTGACCATCTTGTGGGGAGGGATACTGAAGAGTTTGAGCCCAGGAATCTGTCCTAGCTTTGCTTTTGGTAAACATGATGACAAATTTATGTACCTGAATGGCTAGGTGCAGAATTTCCAAGAGCATTAAGCCCTCTGCTATTCTTTTCTTCTCCTTCTTTTTTTCTCTTTCTCTTGCTCTTATTTTTTTGCCTCATCTTAAAAAAACAAAGTAGCATAAATGGTCTATGCTATAGAAATATGTTTGTCACACTCTACATCGCTTTGAACTGCATAACATCAAAGAAAATCAGTGCTTTGATAACTTGATTTGAAAGGATTGTAGAAATAGCCATCATTATGAATCACAACAGATAAGAATGGTAAGGATGGTGATTTTCCAGCAGCAAGGATTGTAAGCTAAGGGAAAATGTAAGGTAGGTGTTAGTGCTGCATTCTCATAAAAAAATACCCAAATACAATTGTTGTGTAGCTTTGCAGAATATGGTTGACTTGAGGGTATGAGGAAGATAGGGAAATATTCCATGTAAAAATATGTTTCTGAGAAACAAGGAAACAAGCATGGGTGCAGAGAAGTACTGGAAAAAAGGAGAATTGGCTGCCTGGGTAGAAATAACTTCTTATAAAGCCACCCTTCCTGAAGGAAGCAAACCCTGAAGTTTCAGAGTTTGTTTACCAAGAGCCCTTTTTACTGCAGAGCCCTTCAGTTCTGGGCTGGATGTAGTCCTCTGAGAGCAGGAGGAGAATGTACATCTGTGCTTGGTCATTCCCTGTTCATAGACTGGAATAAGTTTCTGGCTCTAGGAGATGTCAGGAAAGAATGTCTAAATAGTCTCATCTATAGATATTTTAGCTTGGGATGGTGACAATTCAAATCTAAGAAATTGGAATTTAGCATATTGTTGCCTTCGGGAACTAAATTGCTGAGACAAACCAGCAGCTTATGGAGTGGTGGGAAATGAAATTAGTGTGTACTGTCCCATCCTCATTCTCTAGAAAGTAAATGTTGGCTAGTGGGGAACATTTATAGAAGTTTTGATGGTATTGAGCTGGGAGACATCAGTCTCTTCTGTTGTAGTTGTACTGCTTGTACTGCATCACCTGGTCCAAACACACTGAGCTAGAAAAACCCAGTGTGTTATTTAGCAGCTTGTTTCACCCAATGTGAGGGGATTGCTGTATGTAATGAATGCTACAGCTGGAGTCCATTGAGGTATCAAGATTCATGCTTCTGTGCTTTTTCATGATAAAAGAAGTATCTAGAGGCAAGTTAGAAGGAGAAAGATTTAGACCTTTCACACTTCTTTTTCCCATGCTGGCACTACTGAGATAACTGCTGACACAAACACGCACTCTGAGGACTTGCTTCTATTTAACTTGGGAAGGGGGAAGAAACGCTGTCTTTTGTGTAGTTCTTCATCTTGCTCCTGAGCAGATGATGGGTGGTATTTTTATTTCTTTTACAGAGGAGCAGGATTTTCCTCTGCTCTGCTTTTAAAAACATGGGGCTCCTTAGCGACAATGTGAGTACCTTCTGTGAGCATCTTTCAGAGCTGATAGATGAATATCTAATCAAATGGACAGGACTGGTTATTTTGTGTCTCTTCAGTTGTTTAAAACCTTCACCTTTCTGTGCTAAGGCAATTTAAAAACAAAAAGGAAAGTTCTATGTGTACTACAGAGTACTGATATTAAGCTTACCACCAAGTATGCCTGCTGACTTTATCCATAGCGGCATTATAGAGCAGGACTGCACGGGAACTCTTATAAATGGCTAGTCTGGAAACTGCATTTGTTAAAAAACAAAAGAATAGGCAAGTGGCTGCTTCGTGCTGAGGGAAGTATGAAGCGGTAGAATAGAATAGACATTGGAAGGGACATTAAAAGATCATCTGTTTGAAGTGCTGGACCACTTGAGGCTAACCAAAAGATAAACTGTATTAATGAAGGCATTAAATGCCTCTTGTCCACTGTCAGACGTGGGCATCAACCAACTTTCTAGGAGGCTGTTGGCTTCTAAGTTATTATCCCAAGCAGCAGCCATATGTCATCTTGTTTTGTAATGTGCTGTTGGATTTCTTGTCTTTAGTTTACCCATGTAAAGGCACATCTGCATTCTCTCTGTCCTAAAACTATTGCTCTGCAAAAAATACTACTACTGTGTACCATATAAAAATTATTTCAGCAATGACAACAATCTACACTCATGATATTTAGCTTTTCTGTTTGATGATATCAAACTAAGGTGAGGTTACCCAAGATGAGATCATATTTTTGCAGTAGGTATCTTGAGTAATACCGTTTGATACATGCTTACATTCTGATTGCATGAATGGTAAAGAAGGAAACATTAATATAAGTTTTTCATCAACCCTGTTTTTTGAAAACAGGTGGTCATATAAAGGAAGGTCTTCATTAGTTTTCTCATTAGTTAATGCAGAAAACTTCAGGAAGGCCTACAGCTGGATTTGGATAGGCTGGATTGATTGGCTGAGGCCAATTGTATGAACTTTAACAAGACCAAGTGCTGGGTCCTGGGCAGAGTGGCTGGCAAGTAAGGTGGAGGAAAAGGATCTGGGGGTATTAGTTGGCATTTGGCTGAGCATTAGCCACCAGTGTGCTCAGATGGCCAAGGCAGCCAATGGCATCCTGGCTTGTATCAGAAATAGTGTAGTTAGTTGGAGCAGGGAGGTGATCATCCCTCTGTACTGATGAGGCCACACATTGAGTACCGTGATTAGTTTTGGACCCCTCACTATGAGAAAGTCATCAAGGCCCTGGAGCATGTTCAGAGAAGGGCAGTAAAGTTGTGAAGGATCTGGAGCATGAGTGGCTAAGGGAATTGGAGAATGAGGTTTAGGGGAGACCTTATCACTCTTCACAACTAACTGAAAGGAGGTTATAGTAAGGTGGGAGTTGGCCTCTTCTCCTCTCAACAGCAATAGAATGAGAGGTAGTGGCTTTAAGTTGCACTATGGGAGGTTCAGGTTGGGTAGTAGGAAAAACTTCTCAGAAAGAGTGGTGAGTTATTGGACTGGAGAGGTGGTGGAGACGCTGTCTCTGGAGGTGTTCAAGAACTGTGGAAATATGACACTGAGAAATATGATTTATTGGGCAGTGATGCTTTGTTTTTTATGGCAATGTCTTTTAAATGCCTAGTATCTCAAAGTTGCTCGTCTGCCTTTTTTTCTCAAGAAGTGCTAAGTACTCTTTGCTCTCTGAACTATGTTCTACACATTCAAGTTAGTGAAAGTTTTTTTCAGCACTAGACAAAGGATATACTTATTTCTCTGTTTCTAAGGAAAAAGATGGTGATTGTGGAGTTGTGTTTGCTGTTATGAGGAGGTTGGTTGGTTTTGTTTATTTTTTGTTTAAATTACTTCAGAAAAAGGAATAATTACTTTCCTTACTGTGTCCTGAGTCTGCACCACTGGCATACTGTACAAATCTAGTCTTCTCCTCTCTCCTCCAGGCTGTCAGCGCTCCATAGGCTTGTCCAATGGCAAAGCCAAGGTGTGTAGCTACAGTGGATGGTATTACTGCTGTAACTGCCATGTGGATGACAGCTTCCTCATCCCTGCACGACTGGTTCATAACTGGGATACTTCCAAGTACAAGGTAATCTCCCTGTAAGTTGATTTACTAGTGAGTGGACTGAATTGCTGTTTCTATCTAAACACAGACATTTTACTACATGTTGAGGGTTAAAGGCATTGTCTGCTGATAATATCTGTTTTGACTCATTTGCCAGAATGACTCTAGCCTGACAAGTCCATGTACTCTCAAGAAGACAGATATTTTCATCGCAGTTTCCTTAGCCAGACCTATGGTGCTTCTCCAGAGGAGCAGCTGTTCTCCTCTTCTTGATGGTGTCTTTTCCATCATTGCTCATCTAGTTGTTCAAGAGACAGGGAGAGTCAGAATGACTTTTTGAGGCTACAGGTTGGTAATGCTTAGTGATGGATACTAAAACTGTTGAAATGCTTGCTGGAAACAGGCATAACCTGAAGATGGTGCTTGCAGAAGCCCAGTATGTCCCATCTCATGGCACAAACATTTCCAGAATGCCAGGACAATTGCTGTAGCAATTGTTTGGACTGGACATTTGAAAATAACATGAAGAGAAAATTCTATTGTTGTTTACTTTCCACACAAGCTGCTTTTCTAAAACTTCAGTGATCTGCTATTGCTGCTGCCTTAGTGGTTGGTTACTGTATAGTTGGAACTGATTACATGCCTTCAAGTATTATGCCAACAAACATATTAGCAGTGTTGTTTTGCAGTAACAGAGGGCATGTGCTGAAACAACAATGAACTCATAAGGAAACCAGATTATACTAGAACTTCAAACCTAGCAGCCACTGTTAGGAGAGGCTGTTTGATGTTTTGTGTCTGCGAATATTATTATTATAGGCTATTTGAAAAGGAAAAAAATAACCAGTAAATGCCCTATTAGAGGAAAAGCAGCTCTCTTGAGGAAGAAAATTTGACAGAAGTGAAGATTATTAAAAGGTAGCCAGAGCCTGCCATCAGGAAAATGATAGTCTTGAACCACAAATTGCAAGATTTCTCAGAGCTACAAAGCTCTGATATGTGGAAACAAGAAAACTCAAACTCTCCCTTTCCTAGAAACTAGGAATAAATATTTAAGAATTATTTTTTTTATGCCTTTGCCAAGGACTAAACTTGCTAGGCTTAGGGCATTATAGGCAGCCTTCATATGGAACAGGTAGATGGTAAGGTAAGGAAAACTCATATCAAGGTGTCAGTGATACTGCCAAGAAAATAAACTGGTTTGGTTTCGAAGCTTGGGGTGAAAACTATGCTCTGTGCTCTGTTTCCTATGGTTTAAGTGTAAGCAGCTGAGGGGAGAAATGAAAATAGGACTTGCGAGCTTAAGTTTTCATTGAAAATCTAACATACTGCAACTCTTACAGTGAGAAATTGTTTTGCATTTTGTCTATACATGTGTAAGGTGGCTTGGGATCACAACCAAATTCTGTGCCAGTCTGTCAGTTTCTGTGCCGAAACACTCAGAGATGAATTTAAGGAAGGAAAACCATTCCTTAGTTTGGAAAACATGACAGCATCTCCAACTAGTAGGGGGGGAAGTGAAACAGGGAGAGAAGGTCAAGAGGTCATTATGTGCCACAGTAGCAGTGTCAAAACTCAGCTGAGATCACCAGCTGGATCTCCTCAGCTCGACTTCATCCATGTATAGGATTAAGTTGACACATAGCTGTTGTTACTTTTGGGAAAGCTCTTGGATTTTTTTCCTGTTCTGTTCAATTCTGCATAAACATGCTTTTACTTTTGTCCTTGCTCTATGCCCATGTTGACTAAACAGTGCTTTTCTGAGGTGGGCCGCATATTGCCTGCATTTTAATCTCCACATCTCCTTCTGCCATTCAGGAGCAAGGTTCAGTGTTCCTTTTTTCTGTATGGTTTGAAAGGCACTTAATATTGGTAATGAAATGGCATGATTCCTTAGCAGTGTATTGATTAAATGTGCTGGCTTGGCAAAGGCAGAGATATTGTCCCACTTCCTTGAGGTGATCTTGGTAGAAATAATTTCCTATGGGGTCAATTTTAAATAAGAACACTTAATTAGTCAGCATTTCACTTTTGATAATTGGGCATTGTGCCTGTATAAAGCCATGTGGCAACATTCCAAAGTGAATCTTAGCAACAGACCTTCTCCTAAAGCCAGAGCCATGGCTCTCGCAGGTAGTGCAGTGATGTCTGAAAGTAGAGCTGCTGCAGTGGGTGCCTTGTTTCCCGATGGACTAATAGCACACCCCACAGAGGAGGTGAGTGGATTAAGCATGCGCCACATTTGATAGTCAGAGCTGAAACAGGGCTTTAGTCTCCAAAGACTTAGTATTGCACACAGACTAAAACATGCCTAACATTTTACTAAATGGAAGGACACTGAATTAAGAATTTGAAAAACTTTCTCATGCCTTCTTGGTGCCTTTCTTTACTTTTTTTTTCCCTCTCAAAGAGGTTTCTGGTATCTGTCATACCTGTCGAAGGAAAACAACCAGCAGCACATACTTTAGGACATAGACTTTTATGGTGATATAATGTAATTGGACATGTTTCTCTTCTGTGTTTCATGAAGTCCCGCTCAGCTAAGTACTATCTTGCATCAATTAAGTAAGTTTTGTAAATGGTTCTTGTCTCACTTTTGGCAAGACAGGACATGAAAATAGCAGAAGTAATAGAAATCCGTTGAGTTGTCTTCTTTTACCATGTTGAAAAACAACAATGCACTTAACACCTGAAAGCACATGGATAAGAAAAATCCCCTTGGATGCTGTAAAAGCTTTCAAAGGACTTGGTGGTTAGGCATTTGTCTTTTCTCATAACCAAGCAGCAGTTCAGTCCCCAGGTACACTTTTTTTCTTCTTATCTCCCTGCAGTTTCCCTGTTCATGTTTTTCATGCTTTTGTGAGGAGAAAAGAGGTAATCTGGTGAAAATGCCTTTCTTTTATTTATGCCAACTGTTTTCCCAGCTTAGAGTTCTGCAGTTTGGTTCAGATAGGTTCCAGCCTCTGCAAACAGGCGAGCATAGCAGGAAGAATCATAGAAGTGAACTGTCTGTGCCAGAAGGTCTCAAGGAAGGCTGGCTTCTGGTAAATTGAGTTCTGAACAGTAAATCTGCAGCCTGTAGAAAAGTCTGAAAATGTTAATATCCATCCTTCTGTGATTCTTGAAATTAAAACTCCTCAATTTGCCCCGTATCATTCGTACTGGCTTGTCAGTGTGTATTCTGTCCAGTACAACTGAGGTAACGTGAACATGGTAATACACATGCTAGCATATTGGCCAATAGCAATGTGAATTTCTATGACTGCCTGACCATTCCCATTATAAAGTTGCATTTTAGTGTCCTGCAACTTTGCTATACTTGGTAATGTTTTACAGATGTGCCTGTATCAGGCATGCAGAGACAAAACAACACATCCCTGTCAACTCATGATGCGGGGCAAAGCTGCTTTTTCCTGTAATCAGTGCTCTGCAGGTACATTGTGTCAGCAAGGAGAAAGGTTTGCTTTTCTCCCCTCAAAGGCTGTGCTCAGGCTATGCAGCACTAGAGCTGAACAGTAGTAATATTTGGTCCTCTGGGATTGTGGTTTGTACAATAGAAAGGGCATAGGGCTACACATTGAGCGATGGAGAGGAGCTGCTTTTTGTTCAGCTCTGTACTAATATGAAGTAGAGCATCTATGAGGAGGGGAAAAAGACAAAAAGGTAATTTTAAATTTTGTAACGTATTCCATATGTATTGCAGTCACACAGGTGATTGTGGATCTGGTGTTGCTTTTGTGTTCCTGTTGCAGCCTCAGGAAAGCTGCTGTGTTCGGGGTGAAGGTGTGCACAGGCATGGGTGTAGCACTGGGACAGTCATCTCTCCCTGGTTCCTGAGCCAGGAAGACCAGTGGATGAGGAAATCCCAAAGACTAGAGAGACCATACTGAGTTGAGTCCCTTGCCCTTCGCATGGGGGGTGCTACTTGCACTACCAAGCATTCATGTGCCTCTTAGTGTATCACTGAATACAAAGCTTAATTTTCCCATTGGTGGATGAGGAATAATATTTACGCTACGCTAGATACCATGGTTGTCAGGAGATAATTGAGGTATTATGGCCAAATAGTTTAATGATTATAAAAGCAGTTTGAAAGTAGTTGTTTAACTTTGGTCTCTTTTGTACACCACAGTTAGTGCATCTAAAAACATTAACGATGCTAATGTTTGAAAACTTGACATAATTATAGTCTTGATTTGTAAAATCCAAGTTGTTTGTGCTGTTCCTTACACAGCATGTTACTTGTGCTTCCATTCAGATGGCACAATTCCTTGCGTATGCATTGTTTTGGAAAAAAAAAATGAAAGAGAAACGAGTGCTTAATAGAAATAAGTGAGCTGTTTGATAGAGCTTCAGGACCTAGGAAATCTGAGAGGTTATAATCTGCCGTATTTAAAATTACCTGCCTTATTATCTGTGTAGTTATTAGTGGTAATGTTGTTCTTGACATTATTATTATACTTCATTATGCATTGTGAAAAGGTTATATTTAAAGCTAGTTCTCCTTAGAGTCATGCTTTTTATAAGGATATACGAGGGCTGCACTGAAAGTAATGCCTCCTATCTTATTATGTTGGCCCACAGTGTCAGAGAAAGATGGTGGTGTGGCTGTAGAGACTGAACCTTCCCACCAGTATCCCATTACACATTGTTACCAGCTGAGAGTTGTGAGCAGAGGGGCAGTCTGACAAAATGGTGTCTGACATGGAAGTGCATATGAAGCAAAGGTGTGTCGCTGAATTCCTTCATGGGGAAAAAATGGTACCCACTGACATTCATCAGTGCTTGCTGAACATTTATGGAGACCAAAGAGTGAATGTGAACAGTGAGGTAGTGGGTAGTGCATTTCAGCAGTGACGATAGTTTCCAGAAAGACAAGCCACATTGTGCACAGATGGGCATGCACATCTGTCCCACCATGAAAGGAAGCGTCTCAATCAACTCATTCCTGCAAATCAGTAAATCACAACCAAGGAACTGTGTACTGAGCTGAGTATTGGCTTCGGTGTGTTGGAAATGATGGTGGAAACACTTGAATATTGCAGAGTTTGCACCAGGTGGTTCCACAGATGCTCACATAGGAACAGAAATAAGACCTTTCGCAAGTTTTTAGGATCTGTTGAACCAACCTGAGGCTGAAAGTGACAGTCTCCTGGATCACATAATTGCTGGTGACAAGACATGGTGTTACCACTGTGAACCAGTGTCAAAACAGCAGTCCGTAGAGCAGTGCACATGAATTCATATCAAAGAAAAAGTTCAAGACACAGTACTTAGTGTGTAAAGTGGTGGACACTGTCTTTTGGGATAGGAAAAGGGTGGTCCTTGTTCATTTCCTGGAACTTGGACAAGCCATTTATTCTGAGTGATACATCACAATACTGGCTAAGCTGATCTTGAACTTCCAGAGACAGGGTAGAAGAGAAGACAGCTTTTCTCTTGCACCAGGATAACACCAGGCCCCAAATCCTTTTGAAGATGGTGAAGCACACTGCTGGTGTTGGCTGGACTGTCCTATCTTGACCACCATATAGTTTGAATTTTTCACCTTCTGACTTCCATTTGATGAACGATGGACTGCTAGGCAACATTTTTGTAGCAATGATATACAGCATTATACGGCTGTGAAGCTGTGGGTCACCTGTGCTAGTGCAGATATTTACAAGGGTAGCATACAGGTTCCTATTCATTGCTGTCAAAAATGGTGATGATTGTGATGAAAAATAGTGTTTTGTAGCTGAGAATTTGCTCTGTCAAGTAGAGTTGTTGCAGTCTTTGTTTCTATTGTGGTTTCCATGGAAATAAATAGGAGGCACTACTTTTGAAGTGACCTATATATATTGCTTTTACCAGCTTTCTGCCTTACAACACTGGTAGAGAAACGACGTCCTAAATCTCAGGAGGCTGTGGTGTGCCATTTCTCCTTTCATTAATTTTACAGAAGATAGCATAGTTAGCCCTCCCTCAACTCAACAGTGCAAAGACTGATTTAAAGATCCACAAGGACTAATTGATTTGTGGAACACACAGTATTTCCATAGCACAGTTTCAAGTGATTTGCAGCTTATTTCAGATAATCCCATCTTCTCTTTTCCAGCTGTGATAAAATGCAGAAATGAGACATGAGTGTTTTTCATCTCTCACCTCAGAAACAGGAATATCTTTTCTCATGGGAATAAAACTCTCATTAATTTATCAGGATCACAGTAGCTCTTTAGAGGTGGAGATAGAACAAAGCACTCTCAAGAAAGTGACATTAAAAAATGTCTTGCAAATGAAACATTGCAAATGGGTAGTGCTGCTAACATTTAGATGTATTTATCCATAATTTAAAAAACTTTATAGATATGCTTCAGAGTTTTTTCTTTTTACATTATTTTAGCCACACTGGCTGAGCATGTAGCAAAGGCAGTAGAACTTTATTCTGAAGTTCTATATCCAGGAACAGCACAGTATGATTGGATTTGCAGTGTATGTGTTTCCGGTGTTGTGCTTTGACACTTAACTCACTCACTTGCTTCTTTCCAAAGGAAAGCAAGCATAAAAATATTAACAAGGAAGAAACTTGATGATCACAGTTTTAAGGCCTAAAAGTACCTATAGTGAGCTGTGTTATCCTGCAATGAAAATGTGTGGCTGCAAATATTGCTGTACTTTGGATAAGTAAGCAATTATCTCAGGCATTCAGCTTTGATGGGCTTGATGAAATTTGAATTGGCTATAAGCAGAGACAGTTGGCTCTCTCTCAGCTCTATTTTCATCTGTAGTTGCTAACAATAATATTTCAGATGCAGAAAATGTCTGACAAAACACAGAAGGGAAGATATGCTTAAAAAGAGTTACGAGGAAAGCTTGTCTAAACTGGTTGCATGTTTTTCAGGTATCAAAGCAAGCCAAAGAGTTTCTGGAATATGTGTATGAGGAGCCACTGATTGATATCCAGCAGGAAAATCCCATGTTGTACAAGCACGTTGAATCTCTGGCAACTGTTGTCCGCCTGAGACAGCAGTTAAAATCTCTGCGAGCCTATTTGTTCAGCTGCAGAGCAACAGTGGCTGAAGATCTACGTAGAAGGTAAGAACCACAGACAACATGTAACACAAAAGTATAGTTTTCTTGTTGTGCTTTTTTTTCCCCCCCTCATAATCTAGTTCTGAAGATGTTACCCATTTAGAAAGGTGTTGTGCTTGGATCTGACTTTGCTGGGCAGCTGGGATATCTAGTGCCAAAGAAAATGGTTCCAGTAGGTTTTATAGGGTGCAAGTATCTGAAGTTGTTCCCAACTCCTGTTAGCCCAGGGGCCACACATTGCGGTGAGCATTTTTTACTCCTGCTCAGGCTTCTTGACTTTGCATGAATATCTTATTAAAAAATAGATAGAGCACTGCAGAAAATGTTTCTCAGCTTAATAGTTCAGAACTTTCCTTGAAGGAAACAAGCTAAAAATGAACAATCTTCTTAAAACCTTCAAGACACAGTGGTGACCTCTTAAAAAAAAAAAAAAAAAAAAAAAAAAGGGTTCATTTTGTCCTAGATTTTCTAAAGAGACTGGGAGGTAGCTGTGGCTATGCTGTGTTATGAGAAGTGGTTACAGGTATATGTAGCTGACAGAGTGGTAAATACATACTAAGTATTTGTGAGTGAGACAAGTCCACAAATAAGAAAGCCACTGTTTTGAAATCATCAACTTCCGAAGGACAAGAAAGCAGATGCCATCAGTGACTGTGTTTTGAGCATAACTTTTAGGGATGGTGGGGATCTGAATTCTCTGAGAGGAAGAGGAGACTCCCAGGCGAGTGTGAGGTGAAGTCTGCCATTCAGTGGACAACTGTGCTGTTTCTCTGAGTAACCACATCAAGAACAATATAACAGTAGGTTTCTGGAGAGAGCTCTACTACTAAATTCTTGCATCAGACCTGCTGGACTGTCAGTATGTGTTTGTATATGTATTATTGCACAATCCCCATTATTTTATAGGGCAGCCCAGCATTTTAAGAATTAGGATGCTTTTTTTTTTTCCCTGTTATTTCAGACTATAGTGTTATCATGCAGAGCTCTCTTACTCTTCAGCTGCAATTATTTTCTTGTGCCATCTTCTTCAACTGCAATAAAACTGAAAGGAGAAGGTTTTCTGTTAAGAAAAAGTGGCAGAAAAGAAATTGTGTCCTCTGATTAATGGTGAAGAAAAAATAGCCCTAATTAAAATGGACAGGAGTCAGAAGAGGCTGAAGGTACTTAAATAAGAGAGCAAAAGGAGAAAGATCAAAGGAGATCTAAACAGAGAAGTTTATGACCTAGAGACATAGGAATGATGGAAAGCCCGGAGAAGGAGATTTGAAGAACCAGAGTTGAGGGAAGGAGATGATAAGGAAGAGAGATCTCAGGAAATGAAGAGTTAATAAAGAAATTTCGTCAAAGCGAGGGGGGGAACATGCCTCCAAAAAGTAGAGGTGGCAAGTGCTGGAGAAATGGAGAGAAGACAGGACAGACAAAAATTATCACAGAAAAATTATGCACAGAAATGCATGATCTTTTCTTGGGGTGACAGGCATGGGAAGAAACAGGAAAAAAAAAGTCACAGAAGTATCATGATAAGCATCCAACTCTGATTAGGAAAAAAAAAAAAGAGAGAAGTAGTGGCAGCATGGGCAAATATGTTACCTCCTGTTTTGTGGCTGTACCTGAGTGGTTGTATTGACTGGACATTACTGGAGGCTTGTTCCCTGTATCAGAATGAAACACCCAGGAAGGTAGGAGGGGATGATGAAGCACATGCTCTGTTTTCTTATTTATGGGCTCCTTCGCTGTCTCAAATTAAAACTCTTTGATGGAGAGATAGGGCGAGAATATTAAGGCACTGATTTTGTACAAAGGAAGCATCTCTGACTTGGTGGAACTTTGTTGAAAGCACTGTAAAAGTCACTGAAGGAATGTTTCAGAAGCACGAAATGCACCTTAGAGTTCAGCTTCTTCTCAGACTGTGAATTTTCCCTTGAGTGAGTTTTGGTGCTCGGTTGATTCTTCAGATCTCCTGAAAGATGTTTGCAGAAATGGAAAGGTAGAAAAGTCCTTTTCCTGGAAGTAAGAACTGCTCCCTTTGTCTTTATTTGGTACGTGTAGTATCACAGCCTGCAGACCCTCACTATCAATGTAATGGCTTTATAGAGCACAACTGACAAGTAAATATGTCACTTTAATTTACCTTTGGTTTATCACATGGGCCAGTTTTTAAAAAAGGAGTTTAGAAACAAAATGAAGAGACAGCATTCCTAAAAATAGTACCATTTCCGAATTAGAAATGAAAGAAGGGAGGAGAAAATCCAGTTATCTATCTGGCTCTGAAAGCATTATTTTTCTGCTTGGTCTTCACCTAGTATGTGAATGACTATTAATCACCAGCAAGTGAACACAGCATCTTGGAGACCTGTCAGGCCCATATAAACAGACTGAAACAAACTGTTAATATTGCTGTCTAGGGAGAACTAAAAACAGACTGATTAATTGTATTGGCACCTTGCTGCCTCTGAGACACTAATAGAGCCTGCCTTTTTAGGGAAAAGCATATCACTCTGAGGTTTCTTTTATTAATACTATTTGCATTATCATCATCTTTAAATCTATACCTTGCTCTTGAACTCGGATCAGAAAATGAAGATGGCAATGAAGTTGGAAACTCTTGATGTCCTCTGGGAAGACAAAACTGTTTACAGTGCTTACAAGTCATTTTTTATGAAGAATTCCAGATGGTTATAAACCAGGTTAACTTAGGATCCAGTTGGTTTAAATGTAGAAATGTTATTTATAATGCCTTGTGTGCAAAGATAGGTACTTTGGGAACTTTGTGAATCTTGGCATCTGGTAGGGTATGTAGGACTGGGCTTTGAAGAAGCAAGTGACTAAGAAAGACTGGAAGAGAAAAAGGAAGGAAAATAGGAAAAGAAACAGAAGAAATCCTAGAAGTAGCTAGCAGCTTACAGTAGAACAGTGATCATTGTTATTTATAATGATTTGTTTTCACCTATTGCTCCTCCAGATTTTAAACTTTTTATATTTACAAGGGGGGGAAAAAAAAGTAAAGAAAACCAAAATTAGCTGAGAGAAGAAATAAGGCCCCCCACTGGTGCATATCAGCAGTGTTCCCCAGGGATTGGCCTGCTGGAGGATACAAGCCAGTTGATGAGCACCCTGTTTTACAAGGGATGTTGTTACGCCTGGAATGTTGTGGCCATCACTTCAACATTGCAACAGACATAATTTGCCTCAAATGTCTTTACTCAACAAGTTCTCACTTGTTTTGGTTGCCTTGCACAATTGTGTGGATTCTGTTCAGAAATATACAAGATAAAACCCAGAACCAACACAGATTTAGTACAAGTGGAGCTATACAAATCCCACCATAGCCTGCTGATTCCAAGGTAGATGAATAAATGGCACAAGCAAACAAGATTACATCAATAAAGTGGATAGGTAGGAAAGAGCAAGAATCCCCAAGTTGAAGCTGTACTGAATGGTGCGTTATTCTGGTTTTACTTTCTTCTTTTTGTTTCAGGGTGTGAAACAAGCTAACCTGTTCCTATGCCATAATCTGTCTTCCTCTGTTCTTGTCATTGTTGAAGGCTCTTCTGGGCAAAGACCTGCTAGAGTGATTTTTTTTTTTTTTTTGGGTGGCCTTCTGGTGCTTCCATGTCTACTGTCAGGTAGTGTAACCTAGGTTTATTTTGGAGCACACTCTGAGCTCTCTTTTCTCTGAACGACACACCTGGAACTTTCAGTGTTGCTAGCTCAGATGTTATAGACAGATGGCAGTGGAATGAGGTAAGATAGTCTGCAGCAGGTTCTGCAGTACTCATTCTAATGTCCTCCATTGTAATCAGACATTCTGTTTACGCTGGTGAGAAACTACATGGAAAAACTTCCCAGAGACCTGGACGCGTTGCATAGTGTGTTATAAGAAAGCCAGATTAGAGCTTGCAGTTGTAGGAGGAAGTTAAAGGTATACCTCCAGTGCTGCAGCCCCATGGTCCTGGCTGAGCCTGCTGGTTTGTCAGCAAAAAACGGAACAGCCCAGATTCAGCTATGCTGAACAATAGAGTCCTGTCACTTCCTACAGTGTGGTCTTAGACATATCACTTCTGACACAAGAATAGATTATTTTCAAAATATTTGTGTGGCACTTGGAGAACCTGTCTAAACACATCACACAATTCCTGATTGATCTTATGCAATCACTATACAACCAAATACCTCACATATGTGAAGCTGAGGCTATGTCAGGTTGTCTTTCAGACCAAGAACAACAGAAGGTCGTTAAGTCATACTCAGACTGTCAAAAGAGAGTATTTTCCACCATTTTCTCTGCATTGGGTAAGCCATTTGGAGAGTGGAAAATCCCAAAGCAAGGGAACAAAGACACAGCTTGTGAAAGCAATTGTCTGTAAAAAGAAAATTTGAGAAGGAGAGCAACAAAAGGATGTGATTTCATAGCACAGGGCTCTGAGTTGAGTGAAAAAAGGAAATATGTTGCACAGGTGATTAGGAGAAGGGAGGGAGAGAAATACATTCAAAGAAGATATCTGGATATTCTGAGAGGATCAAGTCTTAAGACCAAATGACACCTAAAAGGAAGGAAGAATGAGAAAACACAGAGAAGAATGCTTGTGCCACTATCTTATGTAGATACTGTGTGTATGTGATCATTGCACCAGCTAAAATGAAGCATGCTTGTTTGTGGGGCTCTTACAAACAGACCACCTCTTTGTTTCAATTCTTTTTTTTTTGTTTGTTTGTTTTGAAGAAGTAACTGTGTTTGTGGGCTTCTTTTAAGTTAACCCTAAAAATACATTTAGCTGAAATTGTGGAGGGCTCAGTAGGAAGATAAAATAGATCTTGAGCTTTCGTTTCAACTTTCTGGAGCAACAAGACTGATGCCAGAGCAGCTGCAGGCAGAAGGCAGTACTGCAATCTCTTTAAGTTAAGGGTAAACTGAAAGCACACAAGGCAGTGCTCTACCATTGTAAGCATCCAGCTGAGGTGTGTGCTGGGACAGATAAGATATATTTTTCCAGTGGATCTTC